CTTGCATCCTTGCCGCGCATCCTTACTCTACGGGTTGACTGTAGGCCACACCTCCTCACGGCCTCTGAGGGCCCGATTGCCGGGCCCGCCCGTCAGGTCCGCCCATTCGCTTGCTTGGAGGGAGGCCCGCGCGCTTGTTTCAGTGTCCCACGCCCGACGTGCCTGCTGGGGCCTGCCCGCCCGCCCCGCCTGCTAGGGGCCAGCCGCCCGCCCCGCCTGCTGGGGCCCGTGCGCCAGACCCGCCCCAGCAGAGTCCGTCTGCCCGACGGGCCCGTCTTGCCGTGTCGGCGTTTGAGCAAGGAGTCCCCGCTGATAGACGAAGAGGGCGGGTGTCAAGGGTTCACATGTCTATCTGCTAGTTGAGTGGCGGGCGCTGAAGAGCGAGCAGTATGAGCATCACTGTTGTAATATCATGATAGTGATGATGGTTGTGGTGATGATGCTGATGATGTGGTGGCTGTTGTGGTGAAGGTGATGTTGATGACGATTGTGGTGGTGGTGGTGGTGGTGGTGTGTTGCTGATGTTGTTGATTATCATGATGTTCTGATCTGATATGATGATGCTGGTGATGATGATAGAGACGATAATGATGACGATGATGACGATGATGATGATGATGATGATGATGATGATGATGATGATGATGATGATGATGATGATGATGATGATGATGATGATGATGATGATGATACTGGTGACGATTAGGATAATACTGTTGATGCTGCTGATGATGATGATGCTGATGATGATGATGATGAGGTTGATGAAGTTGATGCCGATGACGATACGATGATGGTGAGGGTGATGATGATGATGATGATGATGATGATGATGATGATGATGATGATGATGATGATGATGATGAGGAGGAGGAGGAGGAGGAGGAGGAGGAGGAGGAGGAGGAGGAGGAGGAGGCGGCGGAGAAGGCATCGTTTCCAAGGGTCTCCCCGAAGGCGATATTGTTCGGCAGGGGGACATGATCACTGGCGAGGCGCCGCAGGAGAATCTCGGCTACGACCTCGCCCTGAGCGCAAACGGGCAGAGGCTCCTCGTCGGAGCGTACCAGAGCGACAAGATGATGCTGAACGCTGGTGCCTGTCGGGTGTACCAGTGGAGCTCTGCAGAGAACAAGTGGAAGACCCTCGGGCAGGACATTAACGGGCACGACCACCGCTCCACCTCCCCTTCCGTTTCCTTGTCATCTCCTTCTTCCTCCGCTTGTTACTTCTCTGTTTTCTTCGCCGTTTCCTATTCCTCCCCTCCTCCTGCGGACTCTTCGTCCTCCTCCTCCATGGGCCTCCGTCGCCATTCTAGCTCAAGGCCGTCTCGGATCTAGGTGGTCTGTCCGACCCTGGCCCCGCAATGAACCTCCCCAAGCCCTCGAAGTCGTTGATGTGTATGCGCAATGAGACGGTACATAGTTTTTTTTGTTTTCTCACATGCCGATCGCGTCTAGCTCCAGGGCCCAAGAAAGGCTTGAGGCCCAAGTGCGATGGAGACTGTTCTCTCCCTCGCATATTCCACATATATCCTGGGTTAAGCCACGTGGTATAGCAGCCGCTCAAGAGCGGAGCTGCAGCCTATAACCTATAACTTGGGATTCCACGTCCAGCATCCCAGAGGCGGTGCTCAAGGTCGGGGACTCTACGTGCAGCATGCTCCTCTGAGGCAGCAGGTGTAAGCTGAGGTCGAAGATTCCTAGGGTACCCGGGCCGATATTCTCGTAGCCATCGCAGGACACATCGAGAAACAACACGTGTATGATAATGCCGCGGACGTCGTTCAAGGAGAAGCGCTTGCGTGGCTCCGAAGAATCCCCGTCATACTGGCAGCGCAGCTCCTGGAGTGACGTCTCCTGGAGGGACGGCGCGTCAGCGTGTCCGAGCAAGCATCTATCATTGTCTAATGGCTTTCGGCCCATCCCGCCACCGTGCCTGGGTTGTGGGCATGAAGCCTATTTGACGTTCGTTGGAATCTCGTGAGGTGCTTCTCGGGGGCCTTTGGTAGGCAGTTTGGATGCCTTTTGGGGGCCGCTTGGGGCAGAATGGGTGTGGTGGTGGTTTTGGTTCTGGTTCGGGTTCCGGTTCCAGTTCTGGTTTCGGTTTTGGTTCCGCTTCCGATTTTGGTTCTGGTTCCGGTTCTGAGTTCGGTTTCGGTTTCGGTTCCGGTTCCGGTTTTGGTTTTGGTTTTGGTTCTGGTTCCTCAAGAAGACTCCCTTGGTCACCGTTCTGGTTCTGGTTCTCGTCCTGGTCCTTTCTTTTCTGGCCTGGGAAAGGAGCGTCTGGTTCTGGTTCCTGTTCCGGTTCTGGTTCTGGTTTCCCTCTTCTTGCAGCTTCGACAAAGACCCCCCAAGTCACGGTTCTTGTTCCGGGTCTGGCTTTTGTAAGATTTGTTTCTCTTACATCTTCGACAGAGACTCTTTTCCCTACAGCACAGGTACTCCGCAGCCTTCACGCACAACGCGCCACCCGAAAGTCGACAGCCCCCCCAAACCTACCTCGAGAAAGGTCCTGCTTCTCCCATCACCCCCATCCGTGGACAACAAAAAGAACGTCCAAGTACTCCGCGGCCTTCGTGAACAAGGCGCCGCCCGATGCTCGACAGGCTCCTTCTCCAAGCCTAACTTGAAAAAGGCCTTCTACTCAACCCCCTCCGTGTACAACGCCGCGCCAAGGTACTCCGCGGCGTTTCTGTACGACGCGTCACCCAGTGTTCAATGTACTCCCTCCCCGAGCCTGACTTGAAACAGTTCTTCCTACTCGACCCTGTCGGTGTACAGCGCGACGCCCAGGTACTCCACGTCCTGCGGGGAACATCGCGCCACCCGATACGCAAGGGGCTCCTTCTCCAAGTCTACCATGAAAGAGTCCTTCTACTCAACTCCCTCTGTGTACAGCACGACGCCCAGTACTCCACAGCCTTCGCGTATCACGCGCTGCCCGACACTCAACGGGCTTGCCCCCAAATCTAACGTGAAAATGCTTTATATTCAAATCCCTTCGTGTACCAGGCAGCACCCAGATACTGTGAATCTTTCGCGTCCATCACCGCGCCCGATACTCAACTGGCTCCTTCCCCAAACCTAATGTGAAACAGTCCGTCTACTCAACTCCCCCCGCGGACAACAAAGACAACGCCCATGCGCTCCACGGCCTTCGTCCCCAACGCCGCACCCGATGCTCAACGGGTCCCCTCCCCGTGCCGAACTTGAACAAGTTCTTGTATTCAACTCCCTCCCTGTACAACACGACGCCCAAGTATCATGGCGCCAACATCGCAGAGCGGATCTCGTTCGGAAGACAATGGGATGTGCCCGGTGTGTCTTGGAGAATTCGTTCCGGATTTCGAAGATAATTTCGTACGGTTTTTTGGGCCAGGAATGAAGATAAAACAAAGATCCACGTGAAATTCGCTTCGTTTTTCGCTCGCCGCTTCGGGGCTTTGCCTTGACAGAAATCCACGTGAATCCGCTGGAGCACGTCTGCAGGGTCGGTGCAGTGACAAGTACTCCACGGCCTTCGCGTACAACACGCCGCCCGATACTCGACAGGCCCCCTTCACCAAGCCTGACTTGAACAGGTCCTTCTAGTCAACTCCCTCCGTGTACGAAACAACGCCCAGGTACTCCACGGCCTTCGTGTACAACGCGCCGCCTGATACTCAACAGGTTCCCTCCCCAGGCCTAGTTTGAAACATATTATATTCAATGCCCGCCGCGTCCACCTACGCGACACCCAGGTGTTCCAAAGCCTTCGTGTACAACGCACCACCCGATACTCAATAGACTCCTTTTCCAAAGCGTACTTGAAACAGTCCTTCTACTTAGCTCCCTCCGTGTCCAACACAACACCCAGGTACTCCACAGTCTTCGTGCACAGCGCACCACCCGATACTCAACCGGTCCCCCCGCCCAAGCCTACCTTGAAGCAGTCCTTTTATTCAACTCCCCCCGTGTCCAAAGCGAAACCCGGGTACACCGCAGCCTTCGTGTTCAACGCACCACCCAGTACCCGACTTGCTGTTTCCCCAAGCCTAACTTGAACAAGGCCTTCTACTCAGCTCCCTCCGAGTCCAGCGCAACACGCAGGTACTCCACAGCCTTCCAGTACAGCACACCACCTGCCAAGCCTCCCCAAGCCTGCTTCGAAAAAGATTTACTCAACTCCCCCCGCGCCTAACCACCCGATACACAACGGACTCCCTCCCCAAGACTAACTTGAATCAGTCCTTATACTCGATTCCCTCCGCGTCCAGCGCAACGCCCAGGTACTCCACAGTTCTCGTGTCCAACACACCACCCGATACTCAACAGGCTCCTCCCCCAGGCCTAACTTGAAGCAGTCCTCCTACTCAACTCCCTCCGTGTACAACGCGACACCGGGGTACGCCGCTGCCGTCGTGTACAGCGCACCACCCGATACCCAATGGGCTCTCCCCCAAACCAAATTTGAAACAGCCCTCCGATATTCAACAGGCTCTCCCTCCCAAAGTCTGCCTCGAAAAAGTCCTTATTCTCAACTCCCCCCGTGTCCAACATACCACCCAGGTACTCCACAGCCTTCGTGTACAACACACCACCCCATACTCAACAGGCTCCCTCCTCAAGCCTGACTTGAAACAGTCCGTATACTCGACTTTCTCCGTCCCCAACACAACACCCAGGAATTCCACAGCCATAGTGTACAACATTCCGCACGATACACAACAGGTTCCTTCCCTAAGTCTAATTTGAACAAGTCCTTCTACTCAGCGTCCTCCGTGTCCAACACGACACCCAGGTACTCCACAACATTCGCGTACAATACATTGCCCGATATTCAACAACCGCCTTTGTCAAGCCTAACTGTCCCGTGTCCAACACAACACACAGGTACCCTACAGTCTTCCTGTACAGCGCCGCACCCAAGACACAACAGGCTCTATCCCCAAGCTTAACTTGAAAACAAAGCATTTCATTCAGATCTTCCATGTCCAACACAACTCCCAGGTGCTCCACAACTTTCGTGTACAGCACACCACCCGATACTCAACGGGCTCCTTTCCCACGCCGAACTTGAAACTGTCTTCCTTCTCAGCTTTCTCCGTGTCCACAATAAAATCGGCGGCGAGCGAGGGGGGGAAGTGAGAAGGAGAAGGCCTTCTCAGAAGGCTCGGAAGCCCCCCGGCCTTCAGAGACATTTTCTCCCTTCCCCGAAGACAGAAATAATTTCCTAGGAGGCGCGAGGCTTCTGAGAAGTCCCGCCGCCTTCTGAGAAGGCCTTCTCTTTCTCACTTCTCCCCTCGCTCGCCGCCGACAAAACCAAGGTAGTCCACGGCCTTCGTGTCCAACACACCACCCGATACTCAGCAGGCTCCCTCCCCACTCCTGAGTTGAAACAGTTCTTCTATTCAACTCCCTCCATGTACAACGCACCCCCAAGGTACACCACAACTTGCCAGTTCAACGCCGCACCCGATATTCAACAGGTCGCCACCTCAACCCTAAGTTGAAGCAGTCCTTCTACTCAACTCCCTACGTGTCCAACATAACACGCAGGCACTCCACAGCTTTCGTGTACAACACGCCAGCCAGTACTCAATTGGCTGCCTCCCCACGTCTGAATCGAAACAGTCTTTCTATCTCACTCGCCCCGTGTACAACGCAACACCCAGGTATTCCACAGCCTTCGTGTACAGCACACCACCCAGTACTCGACAGGCTCCCTCCCCAGGGCTAACTTGAGCAAGTCCTTCCAATTCCTTCCGTGTACAACACAACACCCAGGTACTCCACAACCTTCGTGTCCAACACGCCAGATGATACTCAACAGGATTCTCCCCAAGCCTAACTTGAGGACATGTCCTTCTCAGCTCCCTCCATGTCCAACACAACACCCAAATACTCCACAGCCTTCGCGTACAACACACCACTCGACACTCGACAGGCTCCTTACCCACGACTAATTCGAACAAGTCCTTCTACTCAACCCTTTCCGTGTACAACACAACACCTCTGTGCTCCACAGCCTGCCTGTACAGCACATCACCTGGTACTCAACAGGATCTCGCCTCAAGCATAATTTCGAAACGGTTTTCTTTTTTTTCATCCGTGTACAGCACAACACCCAGGTACTCGACAGCCTTCGTGTGCAACGCACCACACGATATTCAACTGGCCCCCTCCCCAAACAGAATTTTGACAATCCTCCTGCTCAACTCCCTCCTGGTCGAGCACGTCACCCATTTACTCCACATCTTCCGTGTCCAACGTACCACCCGACACTCAACAGGCTTCCTCCCCATGCCTAATTTGAAAAGATCTTTGTACTCAAACTCTTCCGTGTACACCACAACACCCAGATACTCCACATCCTTCGTGTCCCACATACCATCCCACACTTAACAGGCTCCCGCCTCAAATCTAATTTGGAACAGTCTTTGTATTAATTTCCTTCCGTGTGCAACACAGCACCCAGGTACTCCACAGCCTGCGTGTGCAATTCTTCTACCAAACAGGCTCCCTCTCCAAACCTGCCTCGAGAAAATTATTTGATTAAAGTCCCTCCAACCAATGCAATATCCAGGTACTCCACTGCCTTAGTGTCCAGCGCTGCGCCCGATATTCAACAGGGTCGTGGACCCACCCAGTTATTTTTCTGGGGGGCGTGTCCAGACCCCCTATGTTCTTGCCAGAGGAGGGGTGTGGGGGTGGGGGGGGGGGGAAGGTTAGTGTCGGCCCCTGGTTTCTGACCCCCCCGTGTAGGATTTTTTGTTCGGGGGGGTTGGGGGGGTGCTCCCTGGTTTCTCACCCCCCTCTCAGAACAACTTTTCAGGCCGGCGACGGTGGATCGAGCTCATTCTAGCGTTTTGGTCCCCCCTTCTAGGGCAATCAGCATCGCCTTTGGGGGCCCCTTTGGGCCGCCGCTCTCGTTTCGTGGCCCCACATGGAGCTCCACCGAAGGCTCCAGTGGCAGGGTCCAGATGCAGTTCCCTGCCCATGTCGACATACACCTCACACGTTTCGCGGCCCCATAGGGAGCTCCACAGAAGGCCCCAGTGGTGCTATCCACATGCGGTTCCCTGCCCAGGTTGGCACACGCCTCACATGTTTCGTGGCCCCATAGGGAGCTCTACCCGAGGCCTCAGTGGCAGGGTCAACATGCAGTTCCCTACCCATTTGGGCACACCCTCACACGATTCGTGGCCCCAAAAGGAAGTTCACCGAAAGCCCCAGTGGCAGGATCCACACGCGGCTCCGTGCCTATTTGGGCACACCCCTCACACGTTTCGTGGCCCCGATAGGGAGTTCCATCGGAGGCCCCAGTGGAAGGGTCCACATGCGGCTCCGCGCCCGTTTGGGCACACCCCTCGCACGTTTCGTGTGGCCCTACAGGGAGCTCCACCGAAGGCTCCAGTGGCAGGGTCCACATGCTTTCCCCCGCCCATGTCGGCATACCTCACACGTTTAGTGGCTCCATAGGGAGCTCCACCGAGGGCTCCAGTGGCGCGGTTCACATGCGGCTCTCGCCCATTTGGGGCACACCCTCAAACGTTTCGTGGCCTCATAGGGAGCCCCTCCGAAGGCCCCAGAGTCGCGGTTCACATGCGGTTCCCCGCCCACTTGGGCACACCCATCACACGTTGCGTGGCCCCATAGGGAGCTCCACCGAAAGCGGTGCCCACAACGCGGTATTCACAACTGCACATGGTTGGGTCTTTCGCCCGGATATTTTTTGTTGAGGAACTCGCTGGGCCTCAGCCCAAAGGGCCTGTTGGATTCAAAGCAGTTCTGGTCAATGCAAGGCAATGCGATGTAGAGCATCGCTTAGCATCGCTTGGCATTGCTTGGCGTTGCTTGCCGTATCTTGGCGTTACGGGGAATCTTTTTTGGCGGTGCTGGACCTTGCTTGGCATTCCTCGGCGCTGCTTGGCATTCGCGTTGCTGGGCATTCCTTTACATTGCGTGGCGTTGCTTGACGTTGCTTGGCATTGCTTGGCATTGCCATGACGTTGCCTGGAGTCGCTTGGCATTGTTTGGCATTGCTTTTCTTGGCTTTGCTTTGCATTGCGTGGCGTTGCTTGGCGTATCTTGGCGTTACTGGGAATCGTTTTTAGGTGGTGCTGGGCATTGCTTGGCATTCCTCGGCGCTGCTTGGCATTCGCGTTGCTGGGCATTCCTTTACATTGCATTGCTTGGCATTGCTTGGCATTGCCATGACGCTGCCTGGCGTTACTTGGCATTGTTTGGCATTGCTTTTCTTGGCTTTGATTGGCATTGATAGGTATTTCTTGGCAGTGATCGGCATTGCTTTGCATTCCTTTGCATTGCTCCGCAGTGCCTGGCATTGCTTGGCATTGCAAAACACAGGGGGCCCAAGGAACAACATCATGGAACCCGAAGAATAAGACAGAGGAGCCCGAAACAGGAAGGCCAGGATCAAGACTGGGGAACCCAAGCAACAAGACCGGGGAACCCGGGCTCGGCAGCAAGGAAGCCCAAACCAGGGAATGGTGTAAGGCTGTTGCCCGCATCTGAATCAGGGGGTGGCACGGCTCTTCAATTCGTCACAAAACAAGAAGAATTCCTTTGGGGCAAAGCCTGATTGGGGACGGATCTATCTTCTGCACCTCCACCACGTGTGGTTATGATTTAGATTTCGGTGAGATCCCAGCTGCGGCGTCGAGAAGTATCCCAGCGACCCAACTCCTGATCATTTTCCGAAAATGTTCGATCCTCGACCCTGGAACCTTCTCTTTTTTTCCGAGCAGCACCCGCATCCCTGGATCCCTCCCAGGGTCCATCCTGGCCATCTTGCACCCTGGATGGACTTTTGACGGCCGCAGTTCCGAAGTGGGTTCCCAGATGCCGAGGACGAACGAGCAAAACTCCTCCTCTTCCTCCTCATAACTATCATCGAGCGTCCCTGACTTCGATCCTCGATTCTCGCTCGATGGAGCTCCGTGGAGGGCCGCCCGAGCCAGGACGTCTACGGCGGGCACGTGGCCTACGGCATGTTCGGCGCCTCGGTCTCGCTCGACGCGGCCGGGAGCCGATGGGCCGCTGGCGCCTGGGGGGCGGAGGGGGGCGCAGGCAGCCCGAACCAGGGCGTCGCCATCGAAGCCAGGGTCCTTTGGGCTGGTGATGTCAGGTTTTCGGTGTGTTCGGGTACGGCCGGACCGAGGTATAAGATCGAGGTCGCTTCGGGGCGGGTGCCTCAGCGCTCTTCGTGTTTGTCGTATGCTCTTGTGCATCCCGGGGAAGGGGTCTTTGGGCGGCGGAGGGTCTCATGCTCTTGAAGGGTGTTCTTCTGTCCTTGGCCCGGCTGTAAGGTGGACGTTTTCAGACGTTCCGTCTTCTGGGGCCGGTAATTAGGCTTGTTTCCGCGCCCTGGACAGCTCCTGTCTCCGCCTGCGCTCTTCGCTTGCGGACGCGACCGAAAAAAAGTCTTTTGGGGCTGGGGCCTCGGAGAGTTTGCTCGTCGCCGCGGCTGGATTCCCATCGCTGTTCGGGTCAGGCCGCGCCAGGGGCAGACTCAGGGGCGAATTCCGAGCCCGCGGGCCAGGAGCGGCCATGGGGAGGTGCTGCAATACACCCTGCCGTCCCAAGTCCCCTGCTGCTCATGCGTACAGAAGCGTTCCTTCTTGATGCCAGTACATCTTGGCCTGCTATTTTGCTCCGGGATCGTAGATTGCTGGTAAGTCTCAACCGAAACGCCCGACCTGGTCTACGGATACCGTTGGTGGTGCAACAGTCCGGATTTTTTCCGAAGGACGAGGGGTAGAGGATAATGAGGAGGAGGAGGAGGAGAGAAGGATAGAGGATGCATTATGATGATGCTGATGATGATGATGACGCTGATGATGATGACGATGATGATGGTGGTGGTTGTGGTGGTGATATGATGCTGCTGAGGATGATGACGATTATCATTCTGCTGCTGCTGCTGATGATGAGGATGATGATGACGACAACGATGATGCTGATGCTGCTGCTGATGATTGTGATGCTGATGATGATGATGAGGATGAGGAGGAGGATTAGGATGATGGTGATGATATTGATGATGATGATGCTGCTGCTGATGATGCTGATGATGCTGATGATGATGGTGATGATGATGCTGATGATGATGCTGATGGTGATAATGAGGATGTTGCTGATGCTCATGATGCTGATTATGGTGGTGATGATGAATAGGATGATGATGATGATGATGATGATGATGATGATGGTTATGATGATGATGATGTTGATGTTGTTGATGATGTTGCTGCTGATGATGATGCTGATGCTGCTGCTGATGATAATGATGATGATGATGATGATGATGATGATGATGATGATGATGATGATGATGAGGATGCTGTGTTGATGCTGCTGCTGCTGATGATGATGATGCTGATGCTGCTGCTGCTGCTGATGATGATGATGATGATGATGGTGATGATGATGATGATGATGATGATGATGATGATGATGATGATGATGATGTGGTGGTGGTGGTGGTGGTGGTGGTGGTGCTGCTGCTGCTGCTGCTGATGATGATGATGATGATGATGATGATGATGATGATGATGATGAGGAGAGGAGGAGGAGGAGGAGGAGGAGGAGGAGGAGAGGAGGAGCAGGAGGAGGAGGAGGCGATGGAGGACGAGGTGGAGGAGGCGATGGGAGGAGGCGGAGGAGGAGGAGGCGAGTAGAGGAGGAGGAGGGGAGGCGATGGAGGAGGAGGAGGAGGAGGAGGAGGAGGAGGAGGAGGCGATGGGATGAGGAGGAGGAGGAGGAGGAGGAGGAGGAGGAGGAGGAGGAGGAGGAGGAGGAGGAGCTTGCGATGGAGGAGGAGGCGGAGGAGGAGGAGAAGGAGGAGGAGGTGCAGGGGTGGGTGGGTGGGAGGGGGGGGTGAATGCTGAACCCCAGCCGTCGCCGTCGTTCGGGCCGGCCCGAGGCGCGACGATGCTGGACTCGAGGCAGCCGTCCGGGAGCGGAGGCGTGGAGGCGCCCGGGCGCGCGGGGCTCCCGCCCGCATCGTCGTCGGTGCCGTGGTCCTCGGCGTCGTCGTCGTCGTTGTCTCTCCTTCTCTCCCTCCCCCCCGCACCCCGCGGCCCAAGAAGGCCTCTTTCTCTTCCCGCCCTCTTCCATCTCCCTCCTCCTCCTCCTCTTCCTCCTCCTCCTCCTCCTTCTCCTCTTCCTCCTCTTCCTCTTTCTCTTTCTCCTCCTCCTCCTGCCTCCTCCTCCTCCTCCTCCTCGTCCTCCTCCTCCCTCCTCCCTCCTCCCTTGTCGCTCCTCCCTCAAGCCACGTGGGCTCAAGGGAGCAGACACCTTAGCCTGGCCCCTGAGGACCCTGGCTCACCTCAGCAGCGTCGTCGTCGTCGTCGTCGTCGTCGTCGTCGTCGTCGTCGTCGTCGTTCCCCTTCAGGGTAAGGCCTTCCCACTGGAATTGAGGAGAAGCTCATCGTGCGAATGGCCTGCGGGGCTCTGAAGGCGGACTTGCGATGAATTCACGCTGACGGCGGCCGATCATCGGCGGCGAGCGAGGGAGGGAAGTGAGAAGGGGTCAGAAGACTCGGCGCCCCCCTGGCCTTCTAAGAAGTTTTCGAAGCCTTCCTTTGAGTAGAGCCGAGGGTCAGAGAGTGCCTTCGTCTGCAGGAGCACCAAACAAAGCACGTCAAGGTGGTCTAACGCCTCGCTGGTTAAGCCGACGGAGATGTTCGAAGTCCAACCGTTTGCTTATGTCCAAAGTTTTGGCTTGACGCCGGGTGTGGTGCATCAATTTCAGCTTGACCGATCAGGTTGGTTGCACCCCTTCACGTCCGTTTGGGGTGTTCTGCAGACCTGACCCCCCAGCCCTACTCAAGCCTTCACCGAAGATGCGAACAACTTCTCAGAAGGGCGGAGGGCTTCTGAGAAGTCCCGCCGCCCTCTGAGAAGGCCTCCTCCCTCTAATTTCCCCCCCTCGCTCGCCGCCGAGAGGAGAAGCTCATCGTGGGAGTGGCCTGCTGCGAGGTTCCGAAAGCGGACTTCACGGCGGCCAATCAGCTGGTCGAGGGGCTCCTCCAGATCGCGCGCTCCACAGCGAGAGCACCTCGGCGCGAGGCGGAGGTGACGACGCAGGCGGAGATGATGAACCAGCAGGGCGTTTCCGATGCGCCTCGCCCCCCGCAGCAGGGGCTTCTGCATCGCTGAGGTGGAGACGGACAAGATGATGCACTCGGTGGTGAAGTACCACACCGAGGATGGCAAGGACAGGCACGTTGCGAACTCCGAGGCACCGGACGGCCCCAGGGGCGACCACTTCACCACGTGCAGCCCGCGGAAGGGGAAATTGAAACAGCGAAGATCCGATGGCGGTGACAGAGCGGGAGCTGGAGGAATCCTCCCCGCTGGCCCCGATCCCGTGGTCCCTGCACTTCGCCTGCGGCTCCTCGGTCGGTGCCGTCCTGGAGCGGGGCCCCTGAGGAGATCGAGGGAGTGCAGCGGAGACTCGGCGGCCTGGGTGCTCCCGGAGTCGTGGTGCGATCGCCTCCCTGCTGCAACAGCGGGTGATGTAGCGAGAGAGGCATGCAGACAAAGTCGGGTAAAGTATGCTCCAGCCTGTGCCAGAGGAAAAAACAAGGGAATCGAGGGAGTGCAAGCCGTCGCGGACCAGCAGCTCGTGACCCACGAGTGCGAGATGCCCGAGGCCGACGAGCAGGTGCCGCAGGGACAGGCGTACAGGATCGGCTGGAGGAGTACCGCCCCTGGCGGGAGGTCCGCCCTCGCTCGGCCCTGCCGTCGAGAACCGAGCTCGTGTCCAGAAGGTGCGTGCCACGACCGAGGTGCAGGGCCCTGTGTGCGCTGTTGCAGGGACTTCGCCTTCGGTGGCGACATCTTAGGCGGCTTCGGAAGCGGCCGAGCCATCCAACGCGGAGACCGAGGAGAAGAGCGACCTCGGGCACCTCTACAGATCGGAACTGGAGGGCCAGGTCGAGGAGACGCACGGCCCCGAAAACCTCTGCGGTGAAGAACCTGGATGACAAGTTCGATGGCGACAGCGTGAGGCAGCATGCCATCAAGGGAGAGAGCGCGATTAAGGAGAGCAGCCTCGCGCACCTTTGCTTCGCCCAGGCGCCGTGCGAGGGCAAGCGTGGCCTCGATCACTGCTGCTGCACCTTGTGCGACACTGCACGGCAGGTGGTGCCGATGGTCACCGTCGACGACTGGGGCCAAGAGAATGTCGAGAAGGCGGTGTGCGACACATCCAACTGGCTGGGTAAGGACCAGCTGGCACACGAGGCAGAGTTCGACGGCGAGCGGCGCGATCTGGAGTCCATGTTCGCTTCCATCATGGCCGTCGCCGAGCCGCAGTTCCTCAGCATGTACCGGCCCAGTGAGGGCACCGACCAAGAAGAGGAGGAGGAGTCTCTCGGAGACTCCGCAGACGACGCGTGGCCGATATCGGGCAGGCCATCCGAGAGCAGGAGCTCCGCGCGGCGAGGACATGGCAGGAAAGCCTCGAGCAGCTACATCTCCGTGGGAACAGTTTATAACAAAAGTGGGAAAGGGATGTAAGCCAAAACGATATTGAATCAGACCAGGCGGGGCCCGTCGAATCAAGCGACGCACACCTGTCAACGTTACGGAAGAACGTCTCGTCTGCACCGCGCGTTGCATGTCAGCCGCCCGATTGTAGGAACGAAGGCGCATGGCAAAACGTGGAGCCGCCCACGCTGGCGGCCCTGTGACGGATGAACTTGGAAGAGCACCCGGGCGTTAAGTGGCATTCGCCTCCGAATGTGGACCCCCGACGCGCAAGCCGAAGCAAGGCATATCGATGAGCTGGTCCATGGTGCGCGCCTGCGCACGCTGCCAACATTGAAAGGCGAATCTCACTTGATGGTCCTCTTTGGGCATTGCCGTCTGTAGACCATTCAAGATGATCGCCTTGTGGGTTTTGTTATAACTTTCTCCCGGCTGTGTATAGGATTGGGCTCTAGTGTAGCTGCTCGCTCACAACTTCCGCCAGGGCGGAACGAATACGGAACGAGGGAAAACGATAACAAGACGATAGAGGAAAACATTGTGCAGCTCGAGCCCCGACGTCCGCACCGCCCAGTGCTCGCTGTAACTGCGGTGCGGAGGGGTGCTTCCCACGCTGTTCTCCCAGGGGGGCCCTGGCCGAGAGAGGACAATTGTGTCATCCTGGCTTGACTCGGCCTTTCCGCCGGCAGTCTGGCACAGTGGACTTAGTTGGAGGCCTCTCGGCGCTCCAGGCCTTGGGAGGAAGAGGAGTTCGGGGCATGGGCTCCTTCGATCTGTGGGTTGGCTGGCGTTTGATTGCGTATCCGAGAGAATGCAAACAAGTTTTTGTAGATTGTCTGATCCTTCTTCTCATCCTTCTCCCGGTGTTCCTCCCGTTATCCGTCTCCTCCCTGTCCCAGTCCTCACCCCAATTCCCCTCGAGAGGGGTCCATAGTCCATTCCGTCCGTTCCATTCCTCCAAGTCTACTTCCTCCGCCTCCTCCTCCTCTTCCACCTTTTCTCCTCCTCCTCCTCCTCCTCTTCCTCATTTTCTTCCTCCTCCTCATCCTTTCCTTCCTCCTCGTCCTCCTCCTCCTCTTCCTCCCCCTCTTCCTCCTCTTCTTCTTCTTCTTGCTCCTCCTCCTCATTTCCCCTTCCGCTTCCCCCCCGCCCCCCCCCCCGCTCCCTCTCCTCCCTCCGCTTCTGCCCCGTCTCCCTGGAGGGAAGGGTGGGCAGTTGGCCTTCCCTCGCCCCTTCCCGCTCCGAATCACGGGTTCTCCTTTGATGGTCGCGGGGCCCGATACGGGGCTGCAGATGCAGAAAATGGTCGTCATGAGTTTTTTCGCGGCGCTGCCCCCCCTCCTCCTCCTCCTCCTCCTCCTCCTCCTCCTCCTCCTCCTCCTCCTCCTCCGCTCCAGAGATGTTCGACCGCCCCACATCCCGCTCCAGAGGTGTTCGACCTCACCCTCGACATCCAGACCTACCAGTACCAGTGGGTGCGGATTGGCAGCAAGATCCTCGGCGAGAGCGAGGACGAGGGCGCCCGCAACGTGGGCATCAGCGGGGACGGCGCTGGGGGAGCGAAGCGGGGGGAGGGAAGGGGAGAGGATGAAAGGGGAGGGGAGGGGATGGGATGGGGATGGGATGGGGAAGCGAGGAGGAGGAGGAGGAGGAGGAGGAGGAGGAGGAGGAGGAGGAGGAGGTGGAGTAGGAGGAGGAAGATGATGAGGAGGAGGAGGACGAGGAGGAGGAGGAAGAATACGAAACATCTGGATACTACTACTGATACTAAGCAGAATACTGCGACACTTGCCATTCATAGTAGTATTATTCGTATGAATAATACGGCGAAGTCTAATGCTACGAATATTAATAATCTTGCGAACACTACGACTAACACTAAGACCTCTAATACGAACGCTGATAATATCAACATTACGAGCAAATGCAATACGACAACCAACACGCACAGTACCATTCATAAGACGACCTAGACGAATCACACAACTACGAGTCCTCCTACTAATACTAATCTGAGTATTAACCAAACCACTACGCCTGATAGCAATACTAGTGCTACTACGAAGCATGACCATACAACTACTCATAATCGTAATAGCAGTACTACTCTTGATACTTTCACTTCTGATGCTAGTAATAATACTAGCAGGTCTTATTCTTAATTACTAATCATAACAACACTGATACCACTACTCCTCCTACTACTACTACGACGACGACTACTACTACGACTGATTTTTTTCTACTGGTATCTAATATCAAAGAGGAGCCAACAGTATTATGATTATTCCTAAAGTAGTGCTCGTATTGCCAGTACTAGAAATGCTAATCGTAGCACTCTGCCTTTTATCATTATTTCTTATTCCATTATGTAGAAGGCTATTATAGTCACTAGTACTGGTGATGGTTCTACTACGTCTCACGATCAAACTGACAGTACTAATGCCAGACGTACTAGTTTTGATAACACATAATGCTTTTCGTACTACGACTCATATGTACATATGTATATATTTTATATATATAGCATTCGACTATCAATATTATCGTTTTTACTATTACTACTACAACAACTACTGCTACTGCTGCTGCTATTATCATTATTATTATTATTACTACTACTACTACGAATATTACTAATGCGACTGCTACTGCTACTACTACTACTACTACTACTACTACTCCTAGTAGTAGTAGTAGTAGTAGTAGTAGTAGTAGTAGTAGTAGTAGTAGTAGTAGTAGTAGTAGTAGTAGTAGTAGTAGTAGTAGTAGTAGTAGTAGTAGTAGTAGTAGTAGTAGTAGTAGTAGTAGTAGTAGTAGTAGTAGTAGTAGTAGTAGTAGTAGTAGTAGTAGTAGTAGTAGTAGTAGTAGTAGTAGTAGTAGTAGTAGTAGTAGTAGTAGTAGTAGTAGTAGTAGTAGTAGTAGTAGTAGTAGTAGTAGTAGTAGTAGTAGTAGTACTATGCATAATAATGCTAATGAGGCTACTACTGATTATTGTAGTACTATTCGCACTGATATTACTAATACGTTTTATAGTAATAACATTACTACTCCTATTAATACTACTGACGATGATATTAGACGGGGACGAGGACGATGAGGTGGAGGAGGAGGAGGGGGAGGATGAGGACGAGGATGAGGAGGCCACGAAAGAGGAGGCGGAGGAGGAGGAGGAGGAGGAGGAGGAGGAGGAGGAGGAGGGAGGAGGAGGAGGAGGAGGGGGAGGAGAAGGAGGAGGAGAAGGAGGAGGAAGAGGAGGAAGATGAGGGACGGTAGCCCAGGAACCAGGAACCAGGATTGTGAAGGCCTGACGGCCCGTGCCGCCGACCTGAAAGACATCGACGACGACCAGGAGGGGGAGGAGGAGGAGGAGGAGGAGGAGGAGGAGGAGGAGGAGAGGAGGAGGAGGAGGAGGAGGAGGAGGAGGAGGAGGAGGAGGGGAGGAGGAGGAGAGGAGGAGGAGGAGGAGGAGGAGGAGGAGGAGGAGGAGAGGATGAGGAGGAGGAAAAGGAGGATGAACATGACTCCCCCGTGGGTCCCCCCCCCTGGGTAGGAGGACCGAAGGAAGACCAGCGTGGGAGAGGGGATGGGGGGGAAGGACGTCCCCCAGGGACGGATGCGTACCTGACTCCCCTCCTCCCCTGGGACTCCTCCCCACCTGGGGAGGAGGACCCGAGGAGGACCGGCGCGCCAGAGAAGGACCGGCGTGGGAGAGGAGGACCCCCCGAGGCGATGCGAATCTGACCCGCCCCCCTTCCCCCCGGGACCACCCCCCCGCCAGGGAAGGTGCACAGGAGAGGGTCTTCCCTGTGACGTAATTAGGGCGTGGACGGAGTTCCCTTAAGCTGCTGACCCATTCCCCGAAAGAGGAATGGTGCTCTCTCTCTCTCTCTCTCTCACTCTCTCTCCCCCGACGGGAGAGGAGGATGGGCAGGAGGGGACGAAAGAAGGCTTCCCGTCGACGGGACCGGTCAGACACCTCACACGCCGATAGGGTCGGC